TTTGTGTGTGTGTGTGTGTGCGTGCGTGCGTGTGTGTGTGTTTGTGTTTTAATGTTGAACCACACTTGCATTCTTGGCTTTAAAAAGGAGAGAGGTTGTACAATTTGAAGGTGATAGAGTAAAGGTGGTATTTCCTCCTCCTCTCAGAAATTCCCCAGACACAAGTGAAAATGAGAAACAAATGTAAAAAAAACAAAAACAAAAAGAGAGAGAGAAACAAATATAAATACCATATCTCATGACCAGGAGAGAGCAGACACCCTACCCCATGAATTAGGTGTATAGGCTGAAAAAAGCTGTGGAATCACTGCTTGGTATAAATTGCTTTGGGGCGCCTGGGTGGCGCAGTCGGTTAAGCGTCCGACTTCAGCCAGGTCACGATCTCGCGGTCCGTGAGTTCGAGCCCCGCGTCAGGCTCTGGGCTGATGGCTCGGAGCCTGGAGCCTGTTTCCGATTCTGTGTCTCCCTCTCTCTCTGCCCCTCCCCCGTTCATGCTCTGTCTCTCTCTCTGTCCCAAAAATAAATAAACGTTGAAAAAAAAATTGCTTTGAAAATCATTGGGCAGAATTTACCAAAGTTGAACATTCACATACTCTATAATCCAACACTTTCACTTCAAAAGAAATGAGTGCCTCTATCTACTCAAAGACTTACACAAGTATATTCATAGAAGTTCTAGTCATAGCCAAAACTTGGAAACAAGCCAAATGTCCTTCAACAGGAGAGTAGATAAATAGTTGCCTCCCTTACAGTAGGGTAGTATACACTAGTAAAGGAGAGCAAACTGTTGATAGATGCAACATGGATGAAATCTCATAGCCGCAACCTTGAAAGAATCCAGACATTACAGTACATGTTGCATGAGTTTGTTCTGCATGATTTCAAGAATAGGCTAATCTATGGCGATCGAAGTCACAATAGAGGTTACCCTTGGGGGGAGGTATTGATTGGGAAAGGACAACATGGAACTTGCTTAGATGATGGAAAAGTTCTATATCTTGATCTGAGTGGCAGTCACATGGACACCCAAGTATGTAAAAATTCATTGAGCTGTACCCCGAAGATTTGTGCATTTTACTTGCACATAAAATGTGTGTGAATTTGATGTCAGTTAACAAGGAACAGGATGGGTTTTTTTTTCTAGAAAGTTTAATTAATATTAAGACACCTAAAATGTAATTCACTATATAAACAGAGTAAAGTGGAATAACCAAAATTGTCCTTGTAGTGGATGCAGAAAAAAACAATGTCATTCAATATCCATTCACAGTCAAAACTGTTAGCAAATTAGGAATAGAAAGGAATTTCCTTAGCTGGATAAAGGTTAACTACCAAAACTCTACAGTCATCTACATTAACAAAAAAAAAAAATTTTTTTTAAGTAGGCTCCACATCCAACATGGAGCTCAAACTCAAGACCTTGAAATCTAGAGTTACATGCTCTACCAAATAATCCAGCCAGGTGCCCCATATACAAAAATGATTTTTTTTTTTTTTTTTTTCTTAATTTATTTTTGGGACAGAGAGAGACAGAGCATGAATGGGGGAGGGGCAGAGAGAGAGGGAGACACAGAATCGGAAACAGGCTCCAGGCTCTGAGCCATCAGCCCAGAGCCTGACGCGGGGCTCAAACTCACAGACCGCGAGATCGTGACCTGGCTGAAGTCGGACGCTTAACCGACTGCGCCACCCAGGCACCCCACCCCATCTACAGAATTCTTAATGGTGGCACCTTCGGAGAAGTTCCTTTAAAATCAGGATCCAGTCAAAGGTGCCTATGAGTAACAATTCCACATGCCATTATCTGGGACCTCAGCTTGCACAGTTAGATGAATGCAGAGGGAGAGGCCTGACGACATACTGATAACATGTGGCTTTTAGATGGATGTGGTACCCTTCAGTTTAGAGGACTTTACTACTTTCATACATGTTACAAATATTTTACAAGTATGCAGTATCACATATCAATTTTCAGTACTGTGGGGTTTTTGTTAGACATTTAAAGACACAGGCCAGAAAATACGGTAGAAGCAACAGATCTTAAATCAAGTTATTTTATTTTTTTAGATGGCAAATATTTGAAAGGTAAGAAGACGGTATAAAGGAAGCAAGACCCAGAGCATAGATGTTTGCTCAGCAGGAAAAAAAAAATTGTTTAAAACTGGTTGCATCCAGACCCTGACAAAACCTCGCAAAAAACAGCTCTTCACCCCAGGAGGGATGGGATAATAGACTGGGGCTGGCCCGGGAGTCCGTGACGCAGTGAAGACGGCTAGACTGACTCTTCCTTTCCCAGGTTTCTCAAGCGCCCTGCACTTGACGCCCCTGGGTTTCCGGCTGGGGGACCCAGGCTGGAGATTTGGAGAAAGAGGTGAGGAGTCAACGAAGCCCTTACTGTGATGACAGCGGGCCGAAGATGCCCCTCCCTGGTCCCAGGATCTACCCTCGCCCCCCGTGCCAGCGTTCCGGCCAGTGAGAGAGACCCCTCCCTTCCCTTCCTCCCCACACCCCAACCGAGCCCTACTCTTCGCTGCCAGAGGAGCAGGTATCCGCTAGGGGGCGCGCCTTGCATCGTCGGCCACCCGCTCCACAAGCTGCGATTCCGGGGGCTGCCGACTTTCCGGGATGGCTAGCGCATTCCCTTTGGGGGTGCCCACAGCCCTCCGATCCCCCGCTTGGCCCAGGGTTTCCTTCCCAGCCTCAGGCCGTTGCCCGCCCCGCTCTGCCGCCACGGTCAACGCACTCTATTCGACGCCCTCCAGCCGTCACCCCGGCTCCTATCGCGCGCACCTGAGCCTCCAGAACCGCGCCGGGGGCCCCACCCGGCTCCTGCTCCCGGCCTGACCTCCCCAAGCGGCGCGGGCCGCCCCCCGCCTCGCCCCCTCCCTGCAGAAGCCGATCTCCTCCCTCCTCGGTGAGGACAGCCGCTGCCCGCATCCGCGAGCCCGGACACACTTTACCCTGCACCCCTGAATCTGAGGGAGAGCGCCCCCTCTCGGTTCCCCGCAACTAACCCTTAGAAATCCCTTGGCGCCCCACCGCCTCCTCCTTCGAGGGACGCCTCACCGTCCCCAGGGTGGCCAGTGACAACGGTCTCAAGTGGTGTCCCCGCCTCCTGAGCCTTGATGCCGCCCTCTCGGACCCTCCGCGTCCCGGCGGCTCTTACAGTTTGCACTTGGGGCCCAGGAGAATCCTGGGTGCCGACCCCCCATCTGTGTATGCCGCTGTGGATCCTTCTCTGCTCTCTTAGCTGCACCGCCCCCGCGGCTGACGCCTCCTCTGCTCCCGTCCCTCCTGCCCCGCCAGGTCTGGTTATCTTTCTGGTCAGGCCATCCGGTTACTGGGTCCCACCCCACCCCTACCCCCACCCCCACCCCCACCCATCAAAGCAGGCTGCAGCGGGGCAGTGGGGGAAGCCAGACAAAGATACCATCCGGGTCACTCAGGCCAGTGGGGCAGCTCTCCTTGTTTGGCCCAAACCTGAAAGGCTTGAGAACGCCTTCGTTCCAGCACATTCGTTCTCCCCAGGCTTGCATTTTCAGTCTTTTAATTCTAAATGGGTGATTTTGTCTACATTTAAAGGAATTCCAGGAATTAAATTCATGGTATCATTTTTCTTTCATCTCTGCAAGGTCCCTCACGTTTTCCCCTTTTATCTGTATATTCCACTCCCCTTTGCCCGCCCCTAGACTTGGTCATTCCATTCTGTCGATCCTATGTTTTTCCGTGTTCTCAGGGAGAGGAAAAAAAAGGTGGTTTTGCTGGCATGCATTTTCACTTTGTCTCAGAAGAACTGTATTATTTCTCACTCAGGTTTCTTTTCACTCAGTGCCAGGATTTCAAGATCAACACACAGACACTCAGGTTTCTTTTCACTCAGTGCCAGGATTTCAAGATCAACACACAGAGCTGTCTCTTCTAACGACGGTGCTCATCCACCCACCGTATTTTACCTTCCCCATCTCCTGCACCACTCTCAAACATATCCTTTCTTGTGCAATGCTTCTCAAACATTTGTGTGCATGGGTAGCACTCCGGATCTCCTTAAAATGCAGGCTCTGATTCGGCAAGCCTCGGGTGGGGCCTGACACTGCATTTCTAGCCAGCTTCCAGGTGAGACCTATACTGCCGGTCCTGGTGGGACCACACTTTGAGAAGCAAGGCCCTAAGGGCCTCGGTGAGAATTCATTTTGAATTGCTGGGTCACAGGGTATGTGTTGACCTGATAAATATTGCCCATCAGCTCTCCAGTCTGTCCTTACCACCTTATCCTCTACCAGCAGAGCAGGAGGGTAGAAGGTATATATGTGGGGAAGGGAAGGCGGCTTTCTCCTTGTTCCTGTCCATATCCTTCCTCCCCCTCCCCTGCAGTGTGCCTGGTCTGGGTCAAAATGTCCTGTCTCCTTTAATCAGAATGACCCCAAGGCTCTGAAGTGATGACCCTGACCACATTTGAGGGAGAACCATAAGGAGATGGGAAGGAAGGACTGTGCCTGGAGTTTCAGGCGCGGATGCTGAAGGCATCTGACCAGTGGCCTTCATGGTTATGAAACTCCACAGCAAATGGGTTTTAACAAAAAGAAACTTGTGTTCTAGGGGCCGGTCCCTATTGGCCTGAATGTTTAGGTGGTAGGAGAGGGGAACTTTGGTTCTGGGGCTCCAGGAGCAGAAATTTCAGGCTTAGAGATGCAGTGGGGTGAGGACTGGGTAGGGGTCAGGCAGGTGGGTCTTAGCTGTGATTAGAGCTGTCTGCCATGTGCCTTATGTGGTCATGACAGATCACTATGTTGCTTGGAGGGTTAGCGGGTATATGAATGGCTGCCAACATGCTGGGTATGAAGGGATGCCACCTTCCACGATCTTCCTGGTACTTGTGAGCAGCTTGTTGGGACAGTTTCAGAAACCCACGGGCTATGCGCTCCCCCACTCACACCGCTGGCCAAGTATCTCCTGGCACTGAGTCCCAGCCCCAAGCATTTCACAATCAGGAGAGTCCAACATCTGCACATTTTGAGATTTCATGTCACACGATCTTTTACATCTTGTCCACACCCATCCATCCCCGTTTAACCATCGGAGGGCCAAAAGGGTACCCATGACAGAGCATCTCTCTGAAGGCCTAGGGAAGCTTCCTGCTCTTTCGACCACCTTCGAGGTCAGAAGACCTTTCGAACCTACAGATTTTTCTTATAGTTCAATGCAAAAATCTTACAGTTTTCCGGTCTTTGCGAAGTGCTTCACACACAAGGTATTGCCTTTGACTCACACCAGCCCCGTGACAGGGTTGAGACCCACTCACCCCTGAGGTTCAAAAGAATTAACTGGCCGTGGCCACACATTGTGTAAGTGGGGAAATGGGACTTCTCGTTCATTTTTCCATAACAGACCTTAGGAATCTTAGCGCGGGGAACCCTTTGGGATCCTCACTACCCTAGTTGGCCCGCTTAGAGATATGCACTGAGGCAGAAGGTAGGAGGTCTAGGGAGTGGGGAGTGCCTGGGCAGAAAGGACTGGGAAGTGAGTTCGCTGAGGTCTCATGGGGGTTCTGGCCAGCCCTTTCTCGGCCAGCTTTCTGTCCGTGGGCCCTTTCTAGAGCCTGGGGAAGTGGAAAGAGGGGGTGAGTGTGAGGAATACCAAGCTAGAAGTTCTCAATGAGTCTGCAGCTGAGACAGCTGAGCACCTGGAAGAAAAAGAGGCTGCCAGTTGCTAAGGGAGCCCTGGTGGTGTCTCCACCCTGGTGGGAGCTCTAGATGGCTTGGCCCAGCTCCGCCCCTGGCTAAGCCTTCTGCCCTGTCCCTTCTTCTCAAAGTCCCTGACGCCCCACACCAAGTACCTGCAGCCTGGGCTTGAGGGAGGTGCCCGGAGGTCAGGCCAGTCTACCCTCTGGTCTCTAGCAACATCACCTATGGCCCGAGCAGCGCTAGGGACTGGTCGTCCGGGGCCTGCTGAGGCCACTGCCCTCCTCCCCCCCCACCCCGGGGCCTCAGGCCCTAGGCCAGGGTTCAACAGACACAGGCAGCAGGATGGGGTTGCCCTTCTATTGGTCCGAGTCCTGAGCGAAGTCTGGGTGAGACATGGAGGTGAGAAGGCCCACCAGGCTCAGCAGCGTGGAGAAAAGCAGCAGGAAGGAGGCGGTAAAGAGCAGGGCCGGGAGAGCGCTGAGCACCAACAGCAGGACAGCTGGCAGCAGATGGCTCCACACTGCGGCCGCGACAGGCCACAAGGAGCTCAGCAGGTAGGAGCCGGTGGTGAAGAGCGCGTGGCACAGCATCAGCGACAGCAGCAGGTAGAGGACCCCCTCCAGACCCCTCAGCACACGCTGAAATGGTTGCCGCCAGCCCGATGTGGTCCACCACTGGGCCCAGCTCCGAGGCACGTGGCACCTGCACCAGCGCACCCAGCCCTGCCGCGTGACCCAGGCCGACCAGGGCACTGCCTGCTGCGGCCCCTCGCCGGCCCCGATGGCATCTGTCTCCACTTGGGGCTGCGGCATCATGGTTAGTGCACCTAGGGAGAGGGCCAGGCCAGCTGCAGAAGCAGCCCTGGAGATGCCTGGGACCTCAAGGCAGGTGGGGGTCCAGGGGTCGGGAGGGTACCAGCGTGGGTGGGGTGGGGCTTTGAGCTGGGGCGTGGATCTTACCTCTGGGCAGAAACCCCTAAGTCATGTTGCTTCCTGCAGCGCTCAGGACCGCCTGGCAGCCAGAGTCGAGCCCCCACTGTCATTCCTCATTGACACATCCCCATTGTGACCCGGGAGGGGGTGGAGTCCAGCCAAGAGAGGAGCCAGCCGCTGCTGCGCAGCCTCTCCATGGCCCCTCCAGCCTGGCAGGGGCATGGGGTGAGCCCACAGATGTAGATTCCCAGGCTTTCCTGAGGGAAGCCCCCTCGGGATCCCCGTTCCTACCCTGCTACCTGATATCCAGTCCCACTCTGCTCTCTTGTCCGTCTTTCTGGACGCCCATTCTCTGGAACCACAGAGGAGGCCAGAATGGCCAACCCCAACCCACAAGCTCGGAAATGGCTGCCACATCCTGTCCTGCACTCCCTGTCCCTCATCTCACCTTCTATTTCTTGTCCTCAGACTCAGACCCAGGTGTCCACTGCCCATATTGTGGGTCCGGAGGTCCCCTGAGCTCAGAGGTACGCTCCTGCGTGCTCAGCCCAGGATGGAGGAAAGGAGACCTGGGAAGCAGCATGGCCAGTGTATTTCTGGAGGGCACTCAGATCCAAGGATGGAGGCAGAAAGCCAGGCTGAGCAGGGCCACGGGCACGCCGCGCACTCCCAGGAACAACCCCAGGCCCAGAAGCAGCAGCAGCAGGGCCTCGTGGGGGCTGAGTCTTCCTGGGACCACCGCCGCTGTAGGTAGGAGGACAGCCTCCCGCTGTCCCGGACCCTCACCGGCCCCCTGACTCCGGCCTCCTGTGAGAAGTGTGTGCTGTGGCCGGGGGGCGTCTGCGGGCCTGTGGAGAGAGCAGGTGGCCTCTGGGCTTCTAGAAGGTGACCACTTACCCGCCTGCCAGGCTGCAGCGCGCTTACCAGTGGAGAAGGTCGAAGGCCAGGAAACTGACCAGGAGCAGCAGCAGCAAGGCTGGGCCAGCCGTGGAAAAGACTGTCCGAATCGTCAGCCCCAGTGCCCCCAGCCCTAGGACGCTGTCGAGGAGCTGGGCCAGGTTAGGGCCCCAGGGGGACGTACGTGGACCCACTGGACTACACGACCCCTCCCCTGCACCCAGGCCCCTGGGAGGGACTGGGATAGGACAAGCAAGGGCTTTGGGCCTGGGTAAGCGGAGCTGGGTCATGGAGGGAGGCGGAGGTGACAGGAAGGACTAATGTGGGAGGGAGTGTGGGGAGTGGGTGTGTGGGAGGGAGTGGGGCCCTGGCAGACACTCGAGGGTGAGCTCGGTGGGAATCTCCCCCTCCCCACACACCCACCCACCAAACCCTCCTCACCTCTCTTTTCAGTCAGCTATTCTGGGACAGGGCAGCTGGGGCATTGTGACCTATTGCCAGGTGGGGCCCTGGGGCAGAGAGGGGCGCTGCTGCTGGTTTGGGCCTCATAAGCTTCGCCAGAAGGGAGTCAGTGATTTCTGAGAATGAAGACTCATCCCCTTGCCTTTGGGAATTCTCTGCCCTAGGGCGCCCCCCCCACCTCGCCGTGGGGATCTGAGTTACCAGGAAGGCATTCTAACCCCATCATCACATGGGCAGCTGAGCACGAGAGGAAGGACTGCTTTCTTTCTCCTGCGGGTTCCCAGAGCTGTGTGTCCAGGGGCAATCATTCAATCTTCCTGTCGGCAGCTCTCTCTCCCCTGAGAGCTGGGTGATACCTATGGGCCCCCGTGGGGGGAATTTTCAGGATGGTAGCCCTGGAGTGCAGAGATAGGCTCTGCCAGGAAGTTCCCTGAGGCTTTCTGGGGCGGGGCTCCCACCAGACTGCTAAGGGGTGGGGCAGGAGGGGGCTGTTTCTCAGCCCTGTGGTTTGTGGGAAGTGTTCCAGATACTGGGATTCCAGAAATGGCATAGATAACGTGAATGTAAGAGGGCCACATCATAGGAACCCCCCTCTGAGAATGAAATTAAGGAAAATGGACAGATAAGGAAGAGATTGATCATCTGGAAAAAAAACCGAAACCCTATTCCCATGATAATCTGTAAGTGGGTGGTGGTTACAGAAGTTCCACCGCATCTCAGTTTAGTGACTTGAGAGGCAAGAGTGGAAGCGGATCATAACTGGGAACAGAATCCTTGCGCATATACCATACTTTGAAGGAAAACTGAATGGGGCGGGGGAAGAAGGGGACAGTGACCATAGAGCCCCAAGGAGAGGAGACAGCAAGAATCAGGCACCAGGGGCTCCTGGTTGGTGGCTCAGTTGGTTAAGCATCCAGATTCTCCGCATGGGCTCAGGTCATGATCTCACGGTTCGTGGAATCGAGTCCTGCCACAGGCTTTGTGCTGACAGAGTGGAGTCTGCTTGGGATTCTTACTCTCCCTCTCTCTCTCTCTCTCTCTCTCTGCCCCTCCCCCACTTGCATGCATGTGTATCCACCTTCTCTCTCCCTCTCTCCACTAAAACAAATAAATAAACATTAAAAAAAAGAATCAGGTGGCGTATCTCATATCTGCCTCCAGTGGGCCCTGTCCAAAGACTCAAGCCTGGTGGACTTGACATCTTTGGAAGTGATGGGCTCAACAGTGCATACAGCCAATGCTGCTGGCCCTTGGGACCGTTCATTGGTGGTTCTTGCTTTGGTTCTTCCCAGAGTAATAAAGCAATGCCTGCAAAATTCTGAGGGAAGATTATTTCCAACCTAAACCCAGGTATCTGTCCAAATGATTATCACATATGAGAATAGAATAAAGACATTGTAAGCCATGCAAGTTCTCAAAACTTTGACCTTGCATACACTCTTTCCTAGAAAGCTGCCAGAGGATGTGCTTCAGCAAAATCAGGCATTAAACCGCAAGGACAATACGAGACTAAAGAAATGAGGCTAAGTACAGGAAAGCAATGATGAGAAAGGCTCAGGATGTCAGCTGTGCTTCCCAGTGAAGAAAGCAAACAACCCAGCCTGGACTCAAAAGCAAGATGCTCCGGGAGGGATGTCTCCAGAAGAAAATGAGATCGATTATCTGCGGGTTTTAGATATGTTAAAAATAAATGTTCAGTTCCGCTGGTTGCTTTGGGAGTAAATTATCCATTGGTGCCCAGAAAACCAAGCAGATGATAAAACAAAGTAATCACTAACTCCAGGGAACACAAAAAGCTGAACAGTAATATTTACATGGCCACAAGGTAAGCCCTGAATATCCATCCCAGTGATTTAGCTCTTTGGGAGGATGGAAGAAGTGTGTTAGTGTCCTTGAACGTATGTGTGGGGGAGGGTGGTAGGAAAAGCGAAATCCTTAATTCCATAGCAGGAAATCTACAGATAACATCTAGACCTAGAAAAATTAAGAGGTAGCAATAGAAGCATAGAGATAAATACAAGGAGAAATAACAATTAAAAGTGGCTGACTCGGGAATGGAGAAGCATAGAAAAGAGTCTTCTCTTGCAAGCCTAAAATGTGATTTACCTTTAAAACTATATTCTGTAGTATTTTGGTCAAAATGATTTAGTTCAACATAAAGAAAATTAATGGAGGGTCATATTGTAGAGGTCAGGAACATACCCTCCCGGGATGAACGAAATACCAATTTCCAAACGTTACCTGGATGTGCTCTTCTAGCTTGAGATAGGATTTCCGGTGACAGCCTCAAACACCATCCAACTTGAAAGTTGTGTGTCTCATGCATTTTAGATGGAGGTGCTCTAAATCTCCATCTAGTGCTTCTCAGCCTTTAATGTGCACATGAGCCTCTTGGGGTTGACTCCTCTGGGGATCTCGTTAAAATGCAGATTCTGATGCAGCAGGTCTGGGGTTGGCATTCTGCATTTCTAACAAGCTCCCAGGGGATGGCGGTCCTGTTGGTCCTCTGCCACATTTTGAGAAGGAGGGCTCCCAGAGACATGGATGTACAAAAGAGAGAGAGAGAGAGAGAGAGAGAGAGAGCTGGGGGAGGTGGTGAGCAAATGACGGGTAGGTGGGGAGATGCCTCCTAGTGCATGTAGGTGCCATGGGGGGGGGCAGTCTCCATCAAGGCTCACCTCCATCACAGGGAGAGCACTTAGTACAGAGTGAGTTCTGCCCCCGCATCAGGGACAGAAGATTAGGAGGCCCAGGCAGGCAGCAGATTCCACGACTTCTCTACTTGTTGCAGCCAGACACATGGCCTCCTTTCTTTTCTTGATTTATTCCATCCATGCATGGGGGAATAAGAGGGCTGTATTAAGCTGTCTTCCCACCCTTAGTTCACCTGGTTAGTTTAGGAGCCCCTGGGAACCGCACATTATCTCGCTTCATCACAAAACCCTGAGATTAAGATATTATTGCCCCCATTTTACAGATGAGGAAACAGAGGCTCAGAGAGCGAGGGACTGTCCAAGGATACCCACACAAAATAAAACAGCAGAGGCGGGTGTGAAATTAAGCCTATGCGGTACCAAAGTCAGCTCTCCTCTCCACCTCCAGCCACCTGACCACCCTGGGGAGCCGGCAGGAGTGGAGCACCTCAGTGCAAACCTCGGAGCTGCGCCTCCAGAACCTGCTTCCAGGTACCCAAGTGGCAAGGGCCGAAGGCAACAGCTGAGCTGGGAGCAGGTGCGAGGCGATGAGGAACTAATGAAGGAGCATAGAAGGTTCTGAGGGGTTCAGGGGGGCATGGAGGGACACAAAGGGGCCCTGAAGGTTGTTACAGGGCAGAAAGGCAAGGGGTAAGAGGTGAAAATAAGGATGAGGGGGCACAGGGGACACAATAGGTATCAGCATCCCACAGATCCGAGCCTCTGAGGGATCAGCCAGGGGTGGTCAGCATGCCCCATCCAGCCAGTCCCTTTGGGGGAATGTCCCCCAGTTCGTGGTCTGCCATCTCTTCCTACAGAACCTTGCGCTGTTGGGGAGAGTCAGCTCCCCTCAGCTCTGCTTGGTCAAGGTCTCTCTAAACCTTGAATATATACACAGATACTTTTTTTTTTAGTATTTATTTTTGAGAGAGAGAGAGAGAGAGAGAGAGCATGAGTAGGGGAGGGTCAGAGAGAGAGGGAGACACAGATTCCAAAGCAGACCCCCAGGCTCTGAGCGAGCTGTCAGCCCAGAGCCCCACATGGGGCTCGAACCCACAAACCGCAAGATCGTGACCTGAGCCGAAGTTGGGCACCCAACCAACTGAGCCACCCAGGCGCCCCTACACAGATACTTTTTGAGCACTGACTAGGGACCAGGTGCTGTTCTAGGTCCTGAGGTGCAGCTTTGAACATATGGGTACAAGAAGCTCTTCTGGAGTGTGGCTTATCTTTGCTGGGGGGTGGGGACCCACACAGTGAACACATAACAAAACAAGGTAATCTCAAAATGTTGAGTTGCCTTGAAGACAATAATAAAACAGGGTGAGAGGATAGAGTGGGTGTGGAGGACGGGGCTTGCTTTCATCAGAATGGTCAGCAAAGGCTTTTGGAAACAGGTGATGCTGAAAAGCAATCTGTAGAATGAGGATGCAAATTTGGTGAACCAGTGCAAAGGCCCTGAGGCTGGATGGGCCTGATGTGTTGGAGGGAATGCTAGAATGCCAGTGTGGCTGGAGGAATATGAGCCAGAGGAGCCCAGGGTGATGAGAGGGGAAAGGTGTGGGTAGGGAAGAGCCTTGTCATAAGGGCCTGGCCGGTGAAACCCCTAGGGACTTAAGGCAGGAGCAAATTGACCAAATTTTTTTTTTTTAATTTTAAGGGAAGGAGGAAGGGAGGGAGAGAGAGACAGAGAGAGAGACAGGGAGAGAGACAGGAAGAGAGACAGGGAGAGAGAGAAAGAGAGAGAGAGAGAGAGAGAGAGAGAGAGAGAGAGAGAAAACACAGTGGAGGAGGGGCAGAGAGAGGGAGAGAGAATCCCAAGCATTCACTACCAATCCCTAAGTGGGGCTCGAACTCCCTAACCATGAGGTCATGACCTAAGCCAAACCAACAGTTTGATGCTTCACCCACTGCACCACCCAGATGCCCCAGAACTTGACCCGATTTAACTGTGGGTGGGAGCCTCAGAAGGCTGAGATGTCCTAGCTGGGTGGCCCCTCACACCCGTCTATCAAACTTGGGTGAGGTTGGGGTCAGAGACAGAGAAGTGGCCAGATTGGGTTTTGGAGGAAGAGGGAGCAGCCCTCAGGACCTGTTCAGACCCACTTCTAGCTCCACGGGAGCCTGTGCTGACCTCCTACGGCAAAGAAGCCTCAGCGTATAGTACTGTCTTTCTGCCCCTGATCTGGCCAGCCCCGTGCCTCAGGAACCCTTGGCTTTGGCGCCTTTCCTTGAGTTTTTCTAATCTCCCTTTGGTGCCTGGGACCCAGCAGTGTTGCCCAGGCGGGACGCTCCAAGGCAGAAGTGAGGCCGCTCGGGCTCTGACCCGGTTACTCCCGTTCTGGGGACTCTCTACACAGAATGCTTGGGTTGGGGCAGATGCCTTGAGGCGCTCCAGGACTCGCTTCTGCGTTGGTGCTGGGTCAGTTCCAGGGGTACAGTGGGGTATTTCTTGGGAGGGATCATGGGAGACTGGGCCGCCAGAATGATTTGGGGGTGATACAAAGTGTTTATATAGATAGAGGCCCTGCAAAAAATATTTGCTCAGGGCGGCACGCACTCCAGAGGATTCCTGGCCACCTCTGGGCATCGCTTCTTAGGTGGGGATGGCAGTATCTCCCTGGCGGGCTCCTTGCAAAGACAAAACACTGCCCAGAGGAGCACAGTGGACGCATTTCCTTCCTTCTGGGAGGCGATCTGGTGTGGGGGAATCAGAGGGGGCTGGGGAGCCGGAATGGGAAAGGGCCTGCGCTCTGGAATCCCGGGATCCGGGGCGACCAGCCAGCAAGAGACCCCGGGCTGCTGACCCCCGGGAGGACACTGAGGTGGCGGTGGGGAAGGCAGCAGGGAGGGCCGGACGCGCGCGCATCAGGCCTCGGCCCCTCCACCCACGGCCCCAGCCCGCTGGGTATCGGCTCCCGCTCCTCTCCTCGGATTATGTAA